AACCACACCCATGGCACAATGACAGGTTCTCTGGGCGTATGGTACTCCCCTGTACCTTCCCCACAATATCGCAGAGTCAAGGACATTTAATCTAGCCGCTGTAAGTAGTCTACGGTATTCCACATAGTGGATTTCTGCAAGGTAGGGGGCTGGTATGGTCCGATAAATCTGGTCCCCTAGGAACATCCCTGGTTTTACCTGGGCTATGTCCTCTTGTCTGGCAATGTCACTCAGTCTCCGGGAGATCACAGCTCTAGCTTGATTGTACGTCATAGACTCAAAGTAAAGGTGAGACAATCCGCAGGATTGAACCTCATTAATGACCTCCCTTTCCCATGATGATTGGAAATCGCCCCTCAATATCAAGGGGGCAATATGAACCTATTAAAAGAAGTGCATTTATTTACCAAAGGGCAAACAGAAGGATAGAATAAGGAGAGTAACAAATTTAATAAGTAACATGACCTATAGAGACCAAAACAACTCAGGACACAAAGTAGAAAAGCCATGTGCTGAAACCAAGCCAACTGCTTATGGATAGTCACCTCAGCCTATTTAGCAGTTCCTGATACCTCTGAGAAGCCTGAGAACTCAGCTATAAGGCTTCCAAAAGGGAAGGAAGGGAAAACAACCACCAAAGGAGCCATATTGGAGACCCATCCCCAAAGACACACAGAATTTATTTTTTAATTCCTTGAACAGGTATACAACATTAACCCTATTCATTAATTTCATACCTGCTTCTTAAATAATGCCAGAATTACATTAGTGTTTAATATCATAAACAAAGTCCAAGACCACAGCAGCTGCACAGATAAAAATGCAATCATACGAAGGGTTATTGGCATTACGAACAGAGGAGTCTTGACACTACTTGACATTCAGTCTCAATTACCAGGTTCGGGTTTTTCTCCTTCACTGAACAATGCTATAGAACACCTCAGGAAAACGAGTGGATACTATGCACTCATCATAGCAAAAGTAGCAATCTCCACTTTTTTGAAGGACCTGGGTCAGCTGACAAAACATCAGACATTAAATTACATTTGCCAGCATACACAGACTATGGGAAATACAACTTGCTCTTATTTTTTTCTGATGGAAGAGAGCACTCACTCTTTTATTACAACAATAAGGCCACTTATAATGATTTATTTTTTAAAAGGAAGAGGCAGCAGTCTTATGATTATACACAGCAGCATCTTAATTTCTTTTTTCATACTTCTTTTCACCTTCAGGTACTGGTGACAGTGTTTTTTTCAGAGCATAGAATTAAGGGCAGGTGATAAAGAGCTGTCAGAGTTTGTACTAAAAAAAAATTGTACTCAAAAAAAATACAAAACTAGACATTCAATGTATTTGAGAAATAGGAGTTGCGCCAACTTCAGGTGCAGTAGGCAAGGAGAACTTCCAGTCCAAGGGCCTAATCTGGCCTGACAGGCCTCTTCACTTGGCCCCTGAGACTGACATGATGCCCACGAAGCCACATTTGCTTCGCTTGCGCCACAAAGGAAGCCATCTCTCCTCAATAGCCATCTTTCATCTCATCGTGCTGAGAAAGGGCTCCACTTTTGCAATGCACAGAGGGGAAATGAAGCAATCTCATTATGCAGAAATTTCCTTGTATTGCCAGATCATTGTGTTTCAATGATTTTATTTATCCCTTTTCTAGGAGCACGGCAAGAAACTCAACCTGTGTGTGAAGAGGGTTGCTTTGTGCAGCGGTGCCCAGGGAGAACGCACGGGGGGGGGGGCACAGAGGGCAAAAGGAGCCCAGTGCCCGCCCAGCCCAGCCCCCCTCCGTGCCATTTGGCAGGGTGGCCTCGGGAGGGCGGCGCGCAAAGGACTTGTGATGCCGCCGCCCTCCCCGAGCCAGCTCCGCTTGGCGAGGTTCGGATCGGGGGGGGGCAATGTGAGAAGGGGGCGAGGCTGGCTCGAAGGGCGAAGGGCATCCTGCTCATGCTGCCCTCCCTGAACTGCTTTGTGAGGCTGGGATCTCAGCAGGGCTGAGCAGCGCCCCCTCCCGGAAAATGTGCCCGGGGCAATCGCCCTGGCAGCCCACCCCCCTCCCCGCTCTGCCCCTAGTTTTGTGTTTCTCTGGTGTGAGGAAATGGTATGTTTGGCCCCAACTAGTTTTGATAGTGACACTACCCACTATAGGCACAGCAATTCAAAGACATTGGGCAATTATTGCAGTTTAATCCTATTCCTATCTACTCAGCAGAAAACACCACTGAGTTCATTAGGCCTTTTTGTCAGTGAAATGTGCATAGGATTGCAACCTTAAGTTATGAGAAAAAACTTGTCCTCCAGCCATTAGGAAATCTGACCCAGTTTGGGTCGTATTTACACTATGGAGTTCACCACCTTCAGATCTGTGGACATAAGGAGCACTAGGTTTTTCTTTATTTCTGTTCTTGCCTTATAAGGGACTTCAATCTTTCAACAGGTGTCACAAGCAGATCTGAAGCACTGCTGAATTAATTTCCAAATATTAAAGGGAGGGTGTCAATTGATTTTTCATCCAAGCACAACTTCCAGCTACTGAGATATTTTGGTACTGGTTTATGAGAATCTTATTAACACACAACTTGTGAATCATCCCCATTGAAATAAATATGACTAACCTTTGAGGAAACATATTTAGGACTGGGCCAAACATCTCTGAAATCACATCAGCAGCTATGATAGTTACAATCTGCAGACTGGGCTTCTCCATCACACCCACCAAATTCTCCATAATCTATTGATTAATTTGTCTACATATTGTGAATTCTTGAGAACTCAAAGCTTGTGATATTCAAATACTCAAATATCTTGTGATATTTCTGTTGGTTCTAATAAAAATATTGTACTATTGTTGAGTTTTGATTTTGTTAAGGTAGTAGACAAATATGGTAACTTGCCATTTTTATTTACATACGATATTTGTCTTACAATAAGCAATTACAATTGATGATATCTGATTTGTTTTTTTGATGGAATTATAAGCTTGGTAGATCAGGGAAATGTTGTGGACATAGTGTATCTTGATTTCAGTAAGGCTTTTGACAAAGTACCCCATGATATTCTCTTGAGGTAGCTGGTAAATTGTGGATTGAATGAGGTAACTGTTAGGTGGATTTGTAACTGGTTGACTGACCGAACCCAAAGAGGACTCATTGATGGTTCCTCGTCATCCTGGGGAAAAATGACAAGTGGGGTGCTGCAGGGTTCTGTCCTGGGCCCATTTTGTTCAACATCTTTATCAATGAATTGGATGAAGAATTGAGGGGATGCTCATCAAATTTGCAGATGACACCAAAATGTGAAGGCTAGCTAATGTGGCAGAAGACAGAATCAGAATTCAAAATGACCTTAACAGATTGGAGAATTGGGTGCAATCTAACAAAATGAATTTCAATAGGGACAAACGTAAGGTTCTGCACTTGGGAAGGAAGAACTAGATGCACAAATATAGGATGGGAGCTTACTAGCAGTATGTGTGAAAAGGATCTAGGGGTCTTGGTGGACCACAAGCTTAACTTGAGTTAACAGTGTGATACAGCAGCAAAACAAGCTAACACTATTCTAAGTTGCATCAACAGATGTATAGTGTCCAGATCAAGGGAAGTAATAGTCAGACCACACCTGTAATAATGTGTCTAGTTCTGGGCACCACAATTTAAGAAGGATATTGACAAGCTGGAACGTATGCAGAGGAGGGCAACCAAGATGATCAAGGGTCTGGAAACCAAGCCTTATGAGGAACGGTTGAAGGAGTTGGGTATGTTTAGCCTGGAAAAGAGATTGAGTGGAGATATGACAGCCATCTTCAAATATCTTAAGGGCTGTCACGTGGAAGAGGGAGCTTGTTTTCTCCTGCTCTGGAAGGTAAGACTCAAACAAATGGCTTTAGGTCATGAGAAAGGAGATTCTGACTAAACATTCGGAAAAACTTTCTGACAGTAAAAGCCATTCAGCAGTGCAACAGGTTCCCTCGGGAGGTGGTGGGCTCTCCTTCCTTGGAGGTTTTTAAACAGAGGTTGGAGGGTCATCTGTCATGGATGCTTTAGCTGAGATTCCTGTACTGCAGTGGGTTGGACTAGATGACCCTTAGGGGTCCCTTCCAACTCTATTAATCTCTGATTCTATGACTAGATAGATGGGCCTGATTCAGCAGGGTTTCTCTTATGTTAACAGACAGGATAGCTCAGCTGGTTAGAGCATGGTGCTCATAATGCCAAGTTTGCAGGTTCGATCCCCATAAGGGACAGCTGCATATTCCTGCATTGCAGGGGGTTGAACTAGATGACCCTTGGGGTCCCTTCCAACTCTACAGTTCTATGGGTCTATGATATCCCACTAAGTCACACTCAGAGCAGACCCACTGAAATTCATCAACTTAGATCTAATGTATGATCAATCTGCAGACAGTTTCTAAAATGTAGGGTGGTTGAGCGCTCTATCTGTCTGAAAGCCATGCTAACCTTCCTAATCCGAGATGTACTGGGCAGGCTGTTGTTGCTTATTGAGGAGATTTAACTCTGCACATTCTGAGAGACGTTGCTTTCTAAGACTAAACCATGGTAGCAACGAATCCTTAGCCAGGGGTTAAGCAACCTGAAAATGCTGAATTCCTTCTCTTAATAACAAAATGCTCTTACCTAGCATGAGCAGGTGAAAAATAAGTTAGAGCTCCTGCACCTTTAATGCACCTTGTATGACAAGTTGCACCTGCCAAAATGACAACTATTCCCTCTTCCCTCTTCAACACAACTATTAATGGGGCAGATACCACCATTAACTCAATTCTGTTCAGTCACAGGATAAGTAACTGATAGCACAAGCTTTGCCTGCTAAGTATGCACGCTAAGAATGCACACTATTGCAACCTTAACGCAACCAGTGTCTACTCTATCCATGCTTCAATCTCCCACTGATTTCAACGAGGCTTACTCCCAGGTAGATGAGTGCAAAATTGCAGCTGTAAAGTAAGTTCAAGTTGACAAGAAAGAATTGTGATATATATTTATTTATTGCACAAAATTTCATTTATTTCCATTAAAAACTGGGAATTCTTCTTCCCACTGCCTCAGGATGTATGGACATTTTGTATCTTTCGACTTTCAGAAAACTTTAAAACAGATTTCCTTATGTATGCAAGACTGGTGCAAATGTTATTTTTTTGTTGTTGATCTCAATATTCAAAACAAGTGCATTGTAATTTATTTATTTATTTATTGCTTGCTTGCTTGCTCTGATGGGAAGAAGTTCAAAATAAAGGATACTGTACTCATCAACACCATCCACTGCCATCTTCTGGCCATATTAAAAAGAGCAAGTATTTTTAAAAGCCACTGGAGGTAGAAAAGAGTGCTCAGAATTTAGTAAAAATAACTGCAGTAACAAATTAACAAAACCTACTGACAGTTCACATGTAGAATAATCCTATTCTTCAGTTTAATGATATTTTCTTTCACCAAATTTTCATCTACCAAGTTAATAAAAGTCAAATAATTTTAATAATTTTAATATTGCCGTACTAAAAGGATTTTTAAACTGCAGCAATTACAATGATTACAGTGGCACCTTTTGCAATATGGCGATCACAAGAATTGGTGTGATAATATGCAATGGTCTGCAGGAGTATTATCTCTCACTTGCTGATTATATTCATAGTTATTTCAATACCATAACCCAGAGATTGCCAAACTTTTCATGTTGGTGACACAATTTTTAGACATGCATCATCTCACAATAAGTAATGTTTGACTAGCAAACCAGAAGTTAAAATAACCCCTTTCCAGTCCTGGGAGGAGTGCAAGGAGCGTTCATGTGACACACCTACACACTGCAGCCGACACGCTAATGTGTTGTGGCACACAGTTTGGAAAGCTCTGCCATAACCAATTCACCAGTTCAGTGATGTATTCATACATACTGGTACAGCAATGTGTGTGTATTTCACTTTGTGCTCTCTGAATTATCACATTTTAAAGCTGGTTAGTCTACACATACACACAATAGGACACAGAAGGTCAACAGTTCAAATCCCCATGATGGGGTGAGCTCCCGTTGCTTTGCCCCAGCTCTTGCCAACCTAGCAGTTTGAAAGCATACCAGTGCAAGCAGATAAATAGGTACCACTGTGGCAGGAAGGTAAACAGTGTTTCTGAGCACTCTGGTTTCCATCATGGTGTCCTGTTGCGCCAGTAGCAGTTTAGTCTTGCTGGCCTGTGGACAAACGCTGGCTCCTTCGGCCTGAAAGCAAGATGAGCACCACAACCTATAGTCACCTTTGACTGGACATAACCATCCAGGGGTCCTTTACCTTTTTATTTTTACTATAAGTAAATATGAATTATTCAAGGACCATTCTTTATGTTGCCAAAATGGCGCTATCTACACAAATGAGGGAGATATCAATAGGTTTGGGGAAACCTAAAGGTTTGCAGAAGCAGAAAAAAACCCCTCAGTAATGAAAGAGCACCCTAAAACTGCCCAAATGAGGCCTCAGCATAGGGAGTAGCCAAAGACAACAAAGAGTCCTGGAGTAGCTTAAAGACTAACAATTTCTTATCACATAATATTTCATGGGCCAGAAGTGTTATTCTAAATTGGGAGGCATATACACACACATGGTTGGAAGGTGGAATGAAGAAGAGTGTGGTCTTAAGGAAACGTGAACCAAGAATCAATATCTGAAGATGCATGGTGTAATCATAAATTAGGAGGCATATACACACATATGGTTAGAGAATGGAATGGAAAGGAATGAGATCAAACAAAATGCAAAAAGAGTAAATAGTGATACTTACTTAAAAGACAAACAGTTACCATGACAATTGAAAAGACAAATATGGGGCATCGGGTCAACTAATTAACATGTGTGGTCTGATTAAATCTTGATTTAAGTCACTGGTGATTGAATTGAATTTCCTGATTAATTGTAATTCAGCAGTTGCATGCTTTGAAATTCCTTTGTTTGAGGATGGCCACCTTAAGAATTGCTATAGTTGTTGCTGTTATTAATAATTCAAATTTCTACCTGCCTTCGCCATAATGCCTCAGGGTGGGTTACAGCAATTCAAAACATCATATTAAAAACAGTTAAAAACAAATTACAGTCACAGGAATAGTTACAGTTCAGTTTTGCTGCAGATGGACATCTCTTTTTCCCTCCTAGAAAAAGAGCCTGTAGAAATCATTGTGGCATCTGGGGACAGAAAATTCAAATATGCTGTCTGCCCCAAAAGGTAAAATAGTGGATTAGCATTGGAAAAATGGATAAATGTGCCTCGGAAGCTGTTTGACCTCCGAGGTGCATTTGAAAATGGAAGCATTCACTTCCAGGTTTTCGGCGTTCGGCTTCCGAAACATTCGGCAGCCAAGACGTTCCAAAACCGAGGTTTGACTGTATTTCATTAGGACTAGTCCTTCATACTTCAGCATGAAGAACCAATGAAATAGTAACCATGAAAGGGAGATAAATTAAGTGATTTTGAAGTATCCAGATTTTAAGCTATTATTCCACAATGCAAAACATAAAAATCACCTGAAAACTGGTAAGTGCCAGCAACTGGGTTTTTTGTGTTGTTGTTTTTTTAAAGTTCCCCCCTACACACCAGTACCTCAGTTAAAAACACCTTTACTTTGGAGATTTACTTAGTATTTGGTACGAAGTTCCACATAATAGCAATTCTAAGTCCTGGCCAGGGAACAACAGAATGGAGTAAAGTCACAAAATTCAGTATTAAAACAAATTGCAGTCATTTGCACTGGCAAAGGTGGAGGGTGGAACAGTTTTTACGGTACTTCTTTTTTGCTGCACCAGTTCCAGGAAATAATTAAATAATTATTTAATTAAATAAGGTGATTTAAACTGCAAAAAGGCGCAAAAAAGCCTGAAAAGAGTGGAAAAAAAGCGGGGCCACTAGGGGCGCATCAGAAGATGGCTGACAATAACATCTCTCCGACCCACACGAGGTAATTTGGAGGCTGTGATGGGAGTAAGTCTCCCTACCCCCCAGGATTGGGGGGGGGCTGCCCTTGCCCGCTGTGCCCTATACCACCCCCGAATTTGAGGGGATGGGGGCACTAGGCAGAATGCCCTTCTGTGGATATCGGCGCTCCTGGACGCTGCCTCTGATCCGCGCCTCTAGCTGCAAGAACTTCAAAAGAAACGATTAGGATGAAGCGAATGCACATATTTCAAGGCAGGAGGGGGAGTAAAGACTGCTAACAGAAGAGATCTCTGATAAATGAGACGAGTTGGAAGAACAAGAATTAACCAGATGAAGACACACCAAGACTCGGTATGGCAAAAGGACTGGATGGGGGAGGGGAAAAAAACTTTCCTTTCTTTCCTCTATGTGATTAAACAAGAATCCCCCCCCTCACAAGTCAGAAATGTCGTTTGAAGGACTTAAGCTGTGGATTTATGTCTGTGTGGAGATAAACTTTCTAACCAAAGCATGTTTTAAGAAGAGCGTGGAATGTATAAGGGCTTTGGAATGACGCAGTTAAAAATACCGTCGCCATATTGGGAAGTTCTGTCGGAGGACTTAAGTCTGGGAGGAGAAATAGAGATGTTTTTATATTGTGGGTGAAACTTCTCAGAGGGACTTAAGAATGACAGTTCTGTGATTAATGATGGAAAGAGCGATGTTATCTATGAATGCGAGGATATATGGAAACCATCTCGATTTGAGGATTGGATGAACGGAAAATTCACACAAGATTATTATTGGTGTTTATCGGCTTAAGGAGATTATCAGAAGAGATAATAAAGAAAAAAGAGAAAATATACGAACAAGATGAGATGCGGAAACAGCAAGATAAGACTAGATAGAATTATGAACTTTGTTTGGACTGATTCGGACAGTAACGCAGTAGCAAGAAGATGACCAGAATCCTCCTTCGGATCTTGAAATATGGGTCCCCTCAACAAAATTTAAAATTCGGCTTTGTAATTCGGAATTTATGTGATGTGATATGATTTGATTGGTCGGTTAATAAAAATTATTTATAAAAAAAAAAAGAGTGGGAAAAGTGTCAGAATGGTGCAAAAATAAATAAATAGGAAAGCTGCTAGCAAACCCAGGAACCTTGGCAACTGCAATCCCCTGAGCCTTTGCATCAACCTCTGAGGACTGTGGAGAGTGATTGAGAAAGGAGGTTTGGAGGGAGCAATTGTTGTGGATTTTGGTGAGTTTTCAGCCAATGCTATTGACCATATTCTGTTATACCAAGAATCACTGTTCAGCCCTCACTGGTTTTCCAGTGGAATAACAGCAACCATGAGTCCTATGAAGCTTTTAGAAATGGCATAGCTCCCATCAGTCATGTTGCCTACAGGCAACTCTCCCAGTAATTGCATAATATTATCACTAAGCTAAGAAGTGGGCAACAATGTTTAAAGGAGGCTCCAGAAGAATATATTTGGGGAAAATGTGTATAAAAGTGAAGATATTAGTGAAAATAACAAACTTGCATTTTATTTGAAAAATTGCTTGCAAGAATGCGTACATTAGTCAAAACTGCATATAAAAGTATGTTTATTAGGAGAAATTTGCACTAAAATGGTGATGAATTTCCAGGAGGCTTTTAAAGTAGTAATTATAGCAAGTTGCTACAAAATGTCGAGAACAGAATTTAATACAGTGGTACCTCGGTTTTCGAACGTAATCCGTTCTGGAAGACTGTTCAAGTTCCGAAACGTTCGAAAACCAAAAATTTAATGCGGAAGCCTCAATACAATACGGAAAACTCAATACGGAAGCTGCGGGGCATGTTTGACTTCTGAAAAGTGTTCGAAAACTGAAGCAGTTACTTCCGGGTTTACGACGTTTGAAAACCGAAACGTCTGTCAACGGAGATGTTTGAAAACCGAGGTACCACTGTATTGGAAAAATGAAAAACTGAGAGAACAAAAATTGGCAGATCCTTCCATCTCTCTTTAAGAGTCATTAGCATTTTCTCATCAAAGACTGGAAACGTTTGAGAAAGTATAGGTGCCTAATACAACAAGACAGTCCAATTTTTCAAAGAAGGTGGGCATTTCCCCCCAAGCTGGGAAAGTGCTAACTAGGCTTTGAGAAGGAGGTGGGAGGATTCTAGGACCCTGTCACAGCCCTCTCGCCTCCTTCCCAAAGTTCAGCATCTCACTTACCAGGCTATTTCTATGTTTTCTTTCCATGTTTTATACATTTTTTAAAGAACCTTTTGAAAAGTACTTAGGGCTTTCTTAATTTAAGAAACAACCTTCCCCAAACTGATCACTGAACATAGGTTCTTGTCAGGGCATTCTAAACATTTATTTTTCTTCTAATGTGAAAACTAATATACTTCTCTATACCCAAGTATGCAAAAACCACTAGCTCATTTTTGGTGGAACAGTTTAACTTACAATATGATAGGCATAAGACAATTGTAAGTTTGGTATTAAAGGGCATGCTATATATGTCTACTCAGAACTAATCCCAGTGAGTTCAGTGGGACTCAGCATATGGTTAAAGCTTAACGCTTAGTAGAAAGCTTCTACTTTCTAAGTAAGTCAGCATAAGGTTAAAGCTTAAGGCTTAGTAGAAAGCTTCTGAATTGGATAGCTGTTTAAGAAAAAGAAGCTTAATTTACCAGAAAGTAGACCTGACATTAAACATGGTCAACTTAAAGAAGAAAGTGAATATACAGAGCAACATATACACCTAGGATACAATTATATTGCTAGGGAAAGCAAAACTGTCAATTTCAATAAAATTGTAGCTCGCATTATCAACTTCAAACTTGTGCATTCAGTAATGGGTGACATACGAGTACTGAATCAATACAGCACTAGAGCGTGGAGGCACGAGAGGGGATGCCTCTGAACAAGGAGTTTAGAACTGTGGTTAACACAAGTAATCAATTCTAATTAATAAAAACATTTGGGAAATGTTCTGTCCAAGGAAAAATAGGAAATTGTGTGTCCACCAGATGGTGCTATTTGAATCAACCAATAAACAATTTTCTTCGTTTTTGCTAGAATTTGTTCAATTTACATTTTCCCAAAGAATTTGTAAAACATAATTATGCTTCTGTCTGCTATGTTCTGGAATGGTGTCTGTATTTTACCTAGTACAGAGGTACCTCGGGTTACATATGCTTCAGGTTACAAATGCTTCAGGTTACATACTCCGCTAACCCATAAATAGTGCTCTGGCGGCGCGGTGGCAGAAAAATAGTGTCAGGGTGATAAGCTTTGTGGCAATACAGCCCTTTGTCTTCCATCTACCTTTCCTGCAGAACTGACAACCTAATAGAAAGGGAGTAAAATGAATGAATCATCATCATCATCTTTCCACTGCCAAACCCAAATGCAGCATTAAAAAAGACAGGAAATTAATTTTAAGCAAAACATTTCCCCCTTTGTACATTTCATGCAGAACAAACAATAGTCAAACTAACACACTCACTAAGCAGAGCCATGGCTACTGGGGAGGTTAGCTGGTGGCTTTCCCCCCCCAGCTGAAGCCTCCAGAGGGGCACCATTGAGGCTTCCAGCCTGTGTTTGTGTGTACACAAATGTGTGTGTGGGGTGCCAAACTGGGTCATTGACCCAGGTGAAATAAAGCCTTTTTTCGCCCCTGCACTAAGCTAAGCGCTGAATTTGCCTTACCCACATGCCCATGTAGCTGTGGGGTTGAGTCTCCTTACATAAAGTGAAAACTTGACCTGTATATTTAAAAGATTTTCCATTTCCTTTTATCAAATACAAAAATAGCACACAGAAAGCATAGATTATTTTTGCAGAGCAGGATACCATGAATTATTTTAAAACTATAAATAGGTATAGCAGACCCTCCAAGAGTCCCTATTTTTCAGGGACGTCCCTGATTTAGAGATGCTGTCCCGGTCTCTGATTTGATCCTGGAATGCCCCACTTTTCCATAAGGTAAAGGGACCCCTGACCCTTAGGTCCAGTCGTGACCGACTCTGGGGTTGTGGCGCTCATCTCGCTTTACTGGCCGAGGGAGCCGGCGTACAGCTTCCGGGTCATGTGGCCAGCATGACTAAGCCGCTTCTGGCAAACCAGAGCAGCGCATGGAAACGCTGTTTACCTTCCCGCCGGAGCGGTACCTATTTATCTACTTGCACTTTGATGTGCCTTCGAACTGCTAAGTTGGCAGGAGCTCACCCCGTCGTGGGGATTTGAACCGCCGACCTTCTGATTGGCAAGCCCTAGGCTCTGTAGTTTAACCCACAGCGCCACCCGAGTCCCTTCCACTTTTCCATAAGATGTCCCTATTTTCATTGGACAAATGTTGCTGGGTATGTGATTACCTAGAAGTAAGCAGTACTGCAGAAGAGGAAAATGATATCCATTCTAATTCATGTGGAAATCTAGATATGTCAGCTATTATACTGGAATCAGCAAGGGATAACCCACGTGACCTGAAGGTGCTGCTGTGCAATGCCAGGTCAATGATTCATAAGACCACTGCCATCCATGACTTGATCGTGGATGGAGGACTTGACCTGGCATGTGTAACAGAGACTTGGTTGGATGAAGCAGATGGGCCTGTCCTCGCCGCTGCTTGTCTACTAGATATCTCTTATGCACAGCAACCCAGGGCTTGTGGGCGGGGAGGGGGGGTTGCAGTGATTTTTAGGAAGTCATTAGTTTGCACCAGGCATCCTATTGGGAAGACCCAGTTCTCTGAGTGCATGTTCTGGAAGTTGGACAATAGGGGCAGTATAGGATTCCTTTTGGTGTACCGACCTCTCCGCTGCACCAAGGATTCCCTGCCTGAGCTGCTTCAGATCGTGGCAGATTTTCTCTTGGAGATACCTAGTTTGGTTGTCCTAGGGGATTTTAACATCCATGCCGACACGACCTTACAAAGGGCCGCTCGGGACTTCGTGGAAAGCATGGCCTCCATGGGGCTGTCCCTGAATAAGTCTGGCCCAACTCATAGCCGCGGACATGCCTTAGACCTGGTGTTCTTCTCTATGGATGTTGGTGATCTAACACTAAGTAAAAGCGAAACTAAAGAAGTGCCATGGTCGGATCACTTCCTGGAGCAACTGGACTTCTCCATGACCCTTCCCCTCTGCAGGGAGGTGGGACTGATTCGGATGGTCCACCCCCACCACTTAATGGATCCAAATGGTTTCCAGAAAGTTGGTAGGGGATGCTTTATCCCATGTTGATGGTTGAGAGCCACTGTGGTGTAGTGGTTAAGAGCAGTAGTCTCGTAATCTGGGAAACTGGGTTCGAGTCTCCGCTCCTCCACATGCAGCTGCTGGGTGACCTTGGGCTAGTCACACTTCTCTGAAGTCTCTCAGCCCCACTCACCTCACAGAGTGTTTGTTGTGGGGGAGGAAGGGAAAGGAGAATGTTAGCTGCTTTGAGACTCCTTCGGGTAGTGATAAAGCAGGATATCAAATCCAAACTCTTCTTCTTCTCTTCTTCCAGCTGATTCCCTGGTGGCCCGCTGGAATGTGGAGTTAACCAGGGCTATTGACTGTTTGGCTCTGAAGCGCCCTCTCCGATTACATGGAGCCTGGATAGCCCCGTGGTTTTCCACAGATCTGAGTGCAATGAAACAATTGCTGAGACGGCTAGAATGCCAGTGGCAGATAACTCATCCTGAAGCTGACTGGACACGGGTTAGAGCTCGATGTCGAGCCTACCAAGTGGCGGTAGCGATGGCGAAGAAGACTTTCTTCACCGCCTCTATTGCATCTGCAGAAAACAGCAGCAGGCGACTTTTTCAGGTGGTTTGCAATTTAGCAGAACCACCTGCTTCATCAGGGCCCAGTAAGGGCCACATTATCTCCTGCAATGATTTTGCAGTTTTTTTGCAGATAAAGTCGCACAGATTAGGGAAGAGGTAGACTCCACAGTGGGAACAGGGCCGGGGTGGGAGAGTGCTAGAGTCCTGTCTAGTCAAGTTGTGTGGGATCAATTCCAATCTGTTACCTCTGAGGATGTGGACAGGCTGCTTGGACCAGTGAAACCAACCATCTGTCTCCTTGATCCTTGCCCATCCTGGCTTATAAAAGCTAGCCAGGAAGGTCTGGGCGATGGGCTTCACAGGGTGGTGAATGCTTCTCTCTGTGAGGGAGCCTTCCCAGACCTGCTAAAAGAAGCAGTTATCAAAGCGCTTATTAAAAAAAATCTTTAGATGCAGCCAATATGGCCAACTATTGCCCAGTCTCAAATCTTCCATTCTTGGGCAAGGTGATTGAGCGAGTGGTTTCTGAACAACTACAGGCACGCCTGGAAGAAGTGAACCATTTGGATCCCTTCCAGTCTGGATTCAGGCCTCATCATGGGACTGAAACTGCCTAGGTCGCACTGGCCGATGATCTCCAGCGGGCTAAGGACAAAGGTGAGAGAAGTTTCCTAGTTCTGCTGGATCTCTCAGCCTGGGAGTCATTTTGGCCTCGCAGCTGTCCATGGAGGCGCAGGTCATTTCTGTGTCCAGGGCAGCTGTTTATCAGCTTCATCTGGTACACATGAGACCCTACCTGCCCCGCCTTCTGTCTCGCCAGAGTGGTGCATGCTTTAGTTATCTCCCGCTCTACGTGGGGCTACCTTTGAAGGTGACCTGGAAACTACAACTGATACAGACTGCGGCAGCTACACTGGTGACTGGGAGTGGCCGCTGAGACCATATAACACCGGTCTTGAAAGACCTGCATTGGCTCCCAGTACGTTTCTAAGCACAATTCAAAGTGTTGGTGCTGAACTTTAAAGCCCTAAATGGCCTTGGTCCAGCATACCTGAAGGAGCGTCTCCACCCCCATCGTTCTGCCCAGACACTGATGTCCAGTGCTGAGGACCTTCTGGTTGTTCCCTTGCTGCGAGAAGCCAAGTTACAGGGAACCAGGCAGAGGGCCTTCTTGGTAGTGGCACCCGCCCTGTGGAATGCCCTTCCACCAGATTTCAAAGAGAAAACAACTACCAGACTTTTAGAAGACATCTGAAGGCAGCCCTGTTTAGGGAAGCTTTTAATGTTTAATAGACTATTGTATTTTAATATTTTGTTGGAAGCTGCCCAGAGTGGCTGGTGAAACCCAGCCAGATGGACGGGAAATAAATAAATAAATAAATAAATAAATGAAATAATAATTTTCTTGGCAGGGGACTGATAAAGTCTTTCAACAAAAGGGTATTGTTGTATTACAAAAACACTTAAGAAATAAATTTCATCAAGCTGCAGAGCAACCATGCTGAAAGGTCATCTATTAGAAATATGGTTACCCCAAATTCTGAACTCTGAGGATTTTCCATTCCTAAAAACAATCTACCTGTATATGTTACACTGTCAAAAGAACTGGTCTTTTGCCTCCTAGTTCTAGATCTATATACTAAGAGTGAAAATCAATCTCCTGATCATCTCAGAGCATCTTAAATAAATTTAAAATAAATTAAATCTTAAAACTTAAACTGTAATTTTAAAATCAATGCTCAGTACTTCATTGACTTGTTAATGGGGTGTATCTTTTACTTTGGAAATGTTACGCTGATAAGATGCACCTTAGGAGTCTTAATGAGTTTGGCAGAAGGCCTTTCTTTATGGACAGCATGGGAAAGCTTCAATCAAGTTTCATTGGGGCAGTGGTTTGGGTGTATTAATTCTAAAATGGAAGCACTTTCAAACAAAAGAAATTTTAACTGGTAGCGGGATAGAGAGCGGCAGGCGTTGAGGCTCGCCGGGCTGCCTCTTCGACGGAGGTGCGTGGAGCGCTGTGCGTTTTGCGCGTACAGGCTGCTCCCCTCTTACGTTCGCTTGGGGAGGATCACATGTGCATTGCCATTGAAATGGTGTGCATGTGCCGTGTCTTGTAACTGATTATGTGGGGAGGGGTCAGGTGCATAGTGTGGAGGAGCCAGGGGGCCCATGGCCTCAGGCACAGATTTCTGAGGGGGCGCAACCAGGCCCCCCACTACAGAGTCCCTCATTAAGGCCAGAGCCATGGAGACACAAGCCAAGCTGTGCCCAGGCCAGGTCTTCGGGGCTGGTGCAACAGGCTCCATTTACCTTTCACTCCGCCCCCCCCCCGCGTGCATGTGCCCGCCCCAGGTGCTGGCAACCCACACTACACTGCTGGGCAAGACTTACCTGCCCCCTAATACTTTATTCAAGTTGGCACCCCTGCCTCTGGGCAAAGGGGGAGGATAGTTCTCTTGCACTGCCCTCAATTGTTTCTTAAAGGCCCTAGTTTGGCCAGGTTGTTTTGCATAGGCCAGCCCAGGAGTTCCTCTGCAACATGTATTTCTCCCTTCACATCCCAAATAAACAAAATCCTACCATTTATTCATTTCTAGGGTTTGGGGGTGGGTCTCCCCCCAAAGCTATAACAATATTATGTGCCTTAAAAACACATCTAAATTCAATAAAAGGTAAAGGTAAAGGGACCCCTGACCATTAGGTCCAGTCGTGGACAACTCTGGGGTTGCGGCGCTCATCTCACTTTATTGGCCAAGGGAGCCGGCGTACATGATTAAGCCGCTTTTGGCAAACCAGAGCAGCACACGGAAACTCCGTTTACCTTCCCGCCAGGGCGGTACCTATTTATCTACTTGCACTTTGACGTGCTTTCGAACTGCTAGGTGGGCAGGAGCAGGGACTGAGCAATGGGAGCTTACCCCATCGCGGGGATTCAAACCGCCGACCTTCTGATCAGCAAGTCCTAGGCTCTGTGGTTTAACCCACAGCACCACCCGCGTCCCTCTCTAAATTCAATATTAATGTATAATTAATATTAACTGTATAACTTAGCCTGTCTTATATGTTTACTTTTTAGTGCACTATATATTCTGTTTCGGTTAGCCATAGGGTAGGGACATAGTGACAAACCGGCAACCAGTTTGTTTCACACAAAGCACTGGTCTATTAAACCATAGTTTGAGTGTTCAAATTGCCCGTAAGTTTAACTATGATTATTTACTACAAACAAACCACAATCTGAAACTGTGTGGGACAAGTTATGGTTAACGTGTGATTTGTTAAACAAAAAATGACTTAACATTAGACATGAATCAGTGTGTTTACCTGAAATCTTGCTTAGCCCCCACTCTCATTTCTGAGATTTTACTAAACACCGTCTTTATACTTTTAAGCCTATATTTACAGTCTTCTGTAGAGAAACACAATTTAAAGGGAAAGTGAGGGTGGGTGGGTTTCAGGGCAGGTTGATGCAGAATTTCATACCCATAGTAATTGGTGAACCATGCCATAGTCCTGAAACTTATAATTATGTATGGTAAAAATGGGCCTGGTCTAGTTGGAGGGAAATAATTTGCATGCTAATAATGGAATTTGAGGCTAATTCTCTGTTGCACGTTCTTCCTGACCCTGTCAGATCTCTGAAAAGTATTCTTCATAGATTTTTTTAGAAGTTGAAGAACAGTTGTATAACCATGCTAATAAAATAAAATTTAAATTGAATCAATTATCAAACCATGTTGGTCAGCGCTTGCATTTAAATGTAAACCTCATCTCTGGCAGCTATACAAATAAACACTTCAAGGAACACACTGCAGTTTAATGGTATTGTTCCTGCCATTAGCAAAATAATATACTGTATTCTGATGGCCTATGTGTATGTTTTGAATGCAGTTATTTATGGACATAGGAACTTTCAGCTATGCCCACCCAAAGGACATGTTGAATTTTTCAACTTTCAAATTCCAAAAATGATGGGTTGCGACATGACTTGGGAATTGAAAAGATATTTTGGATATAAATATAATTTAGTTTTGCTTGGTAAGTTAAATTGTGTAAAATTGCATCGAAATAATTAAAAATGATTGCCAAGTACTTGCAGTTATGTTATGTTACAATTACTTAGCATTACCTGACATTTTCAGAAGGTAAAATTTATTTGGTTTTCCGAAAGCAATTTATGTACTTCATCAAATGTAGACTTACCATGGTAAATGTTGTCCAGGTGGATGACCATCTGTCTATCACAATGGGTCTAGCCAAGAGGGGGCATCCACAGATATTATTGAAAAGCATTTAAGTAACTGAGGTTCTGCCACCCCCCTCCCCCGTAATGCCTTCCTTTTCGGAAAAAAAGCTCAACAACTTTGGCTGACCCCGCCATGTCTGTCATGCATGATTTAGTTGAGATTCCTGCATTGCAGGGGGTTGGACTAGATGACCGGGTTCCCTTCCAACTCTACAATTCTATATATTTTCTTTTTAAAAAAATATATAGAAACGTGTAAATAACACCCAGAGGGCTTTAGAAATCTTGAAGTGCCACCGACGCACCCGGGAATTCAAGGGCTGTGCATTTGGCCCTCCCCTGGCTTGAAGCGGCTGCTCCACTTTAGACCGTCCGCGGGTCCCACGGATCTTCAGGGCTGCTTCGGACGGGGGAGCTGCGCTTGGGCGCCCGCGGGCTTCCTCACGACTCCCCTGGGGCAGAATTATGTTGACACGCGGCCCCCCGTTAACGGCACGGTGAACGTGAGGAAGGCCGAGGCACCCGCGGAGGGCGGCCCTGGGGGCGGGCGGAGGGGGCAGTTTAACCGACGCCACAGTCTCGCGCGACGCAGAACGCCGCCCGCCTGACGGAAAGGGGGCGGGAGGCCGCGCGTGCGCGCCGCCGCCGCCGCCAGCCTATCTTTGGCGCTGCCTGGGCGCTGCCTCGCTGGGCGAAGGGAGAGGCGGGAAGAGCGCGAGCGAGCGCTTCCCTCATGGCCGGCCCTCGGTAGCGCCCCAGCGTCGCCGGTGCGCCTGCGCGGCAGGGCAGGGCCAGTCCGGCTCCACAGCGCGCTGAGGCAGCGGGCGGCGGCGGAGACCTGTGTCCGGGCGGGCGGGCGGGCGAGGGGGCTCCTCCGCCTCCCTTGGCGTCCTGAAGGCGGAGCGAGGCTCGCCGGGAGCCGCTTCCCAGGATGGTGTTCGAGTCGGTGGTGGTGGACGTTCTGAACCGCTTCCTGGGCGACTATGTGGTGAACCTGGACAGCTCCCAGCTCTCGCTCGGCATCTGGGGAGGTGAGTGAGGGGCGAGGGCGCCCTTGCCTGACCCCTCGCCCGCCAAGGCACAGGCGGCGGCGGCGGCGCTGCTCCTCCTCCCGAGGCCGCCCGGGGGCGCCTCTCGGCCGGTGCTGCTGCTGCTGCTGCTGCGTGAGGGAGCCCAGGGCGGCTTCCTCACGAGTCCCACAGGCGCCTGGCGCTGCCTCTCCGGGCCCGCCCGTCTGGCCGGCGCTCCTGCGCGCTCCGGGGCCGCGCCAGGCCCTGTCACGTGCGCGGCTCCTTCGCGCGCCTCGCCCTCGCCCACCGCAGCTCTTGCTCCCGGCTCGGAAGTTTTGGTGGCCAAGAGCCCTGGCCGCACCGGGCGCGTGAGGCAGGAGCACGTTATGGGCCAGCTCCTTGCTCCTTTCCGCGCCCTGCCCAGCTCGGTTGGGTCGAGTTCTGGAGTTGGGGTGGAGCGGAAACAAACAAAAACCCACCCAGCGTAACTGCTTTTGCCGCTGGCACTGCACGTTTTTTTCATCTGACCGCTCACTTTGTAGAAGCAAAGCATTCGATGTATTTTTGAGCGGCAGCGGTTAAAAAAAAGTTTCATTTGCATCCATCTGACCTAATCTCTCTGCAGTTTATTTCATATCCATCCTTTCCGCTTTTCAAGGAACTCAGAGTGGCATTCATAAAGTTCCCAGGCAGCATTCCACCCTGATCATATAAGGAACTGCTTAGTTTCAGCGAGGTTGCAGTACTATTAGCTTTCTTTTTAAAAGTGGAATACTGTATATAGAAATTAGTGTGTATTTGTATGATCATTCTGCATCATTGTGGTCCCTCATTTTGTGACACTAACCTCTCAACATTTTTGACGAGGCAGCTGCCATGCTGCTTCACTGCATTATTGAAAACAAGTAATAAGTACTTTTTAAAACTGTATCAACTACATTTGCCACAAATGAGTGACTGTTTTTTAATGGGGCCATTGCTTTACTAAACTTTTTGTAGAAAGAAAGAGAAACACTGAAGGCTGCTTTTACAGATTACCACTTTAGCAGGTAGATCCTGCAGGTCTGTAATGTGTGTGTATATTTAAAAAGCTGATGTGACTCTATATATTCGCATAATAATAATAACAACATACATTGCATACAATGAGCAGATGGCTCTCAGCCACATGTATCCATTGTGTACATCTCATGTAAAAGGGAACACATGGCTGCTTCAGATGTTGCAGGTCTGTAATGTATACTGGCTTTGAATGCAATAGAAGGAGTTATGTACAAAATGTAGACAAACAGGTTTTCCATCTTGTCAGTGTATTGGCATGGTTCGTTTCAACCAAGCAACACAAAAATCAGTCTAATCTAAGAGCAGGCAAATTCTGGCAGCTGCACTAGTGTGAAATAGGGTCAGATGTAAACCTAAATCAGAATGGTTACTCGGCAAGACTTGTCTTGAGGTATTAGTGCCCGGATCTTCAGTATATAGCATGCAACTAAGCCAGATGAATCTTGAAAGCTGTGTGTAAAAGTGCTTGTATTTAAAAGTATCTTTAAAGTGTTTAGAGTGAAAATAGCTGTTGGGAACTGAAAAAAAGATAAAGTAGACAGTTTTGTCTGAACTCTGTAGTTAACAAGAGGACATGCTGTGCCTATGTATAGTAAAGGAAATTCATTTTTTCCTAGATTTAATGTAATGTCTCTTAAACCTTATGTGATATTAACAGTAAAATTAGGAAGTTTGCTTGACAGAGTTAATCTGTACCTTCAGTTCCATCCACAGAATTGGCACTATTACAGGTGCCATGTAATACTCATTATGTGTAAGAACCTAATCGTCTAGTATGGAACTCTCTTGATATAAAGCAGGTGCCTTCAATATATTATTTTCAGTGCCTGCTAAAAATTCTTGTTTAGTCAAGCCTATCCAGATGCTTAGAAAAGCTGATGTGAATTTTAATCTGCTTTAGTATTTTAACTTCTTGTCTGTTTTAATTTATTGTATTTTCCCCTGATTTTATGGTGTTATCTTTTTGTAAACCGCTTTCAGGTTTACCACAACCAAGCCATGTATGCATAAATAAGAGTGACAAGGAGGTTCATTTTGGTTAGCACATTTAATTGGCATAGGATCTGGGCTCATAATTTAAGAGGTAGAGGAGTAAACAAGAAACTGGCCTCAGTTGCACATGCTCTGGTTATATTCTAGACTAGGCTACCATAATGTTCTTTGTGTAGGACTTCCTTTAATAACAGTTCAGAAACTTCAGCTGGTGTAAAATTCAGCCACTAGAAATCTTGTGCAGACTACTTGGTTAGCTCAAAACTGAACTAGTTATCTATTTGGTTCCAGGTTTAGATTAAAGTGCTGGTGTTGACCTATAATGTTCTGAATGGCTTGAGACAAGTTCTTGGGTCCAAAGATCAGCCTGAGAGACCATGCAGTCTGGGCTACCATTAAAGTTGATCAGGTTTGCAATATTAGGGCCCTTTTAATAGTGACCCCACAATTGTGGATTTTTCTTCTTTGAGAATTGCACATAGCCTCACATTTGCAGTCTTTAACTGGAACTCAGCCTGATGATGTGGAGAAGGTGCTTGCAGTAATGCAGCAAACCATCTGTTCCCTCATCCCTTGTCTGTCATGGCTGTCTGTAGTTACTGAGGGAGTATGACTGGGTATAGTAAATACATCTTTTTGGGAAGGAGGGATCCTGGCTATCTTTAAAGAGGCAATGATTTGACACATCCTGAAAAAGCCTACCCTGGACCCATTGGCTTGTGACAACTACCACTTGGTTTCAAATACCCACTTTCTGGGAAAGGTGATTAAGAGGGTTGTGACACAAGGGTAACCAAATACTCTTGCATGAAACTGATTATCTTGACCCATTCCAGTTGGGGTTCAGGCCTGGCTACGGGACTGAAATTGCCTTGTTCTCCCTAACCTTAACAAGAGGACAGCGGGAATGTGACCATATTATTCTTACTAGATCTTTCAGTGGCTTTTGATACCACTGACCATGGTATCCTTTTGAACTGGCTATGTGAGATGGATATTGGGGGTTGTTGTTTTATAGTGGTTCTGATCCTATCTCCAGGGTCAGTTTCAGAGCATAGTGTTAGGTGATTAACTCTCAGTCCTCCAGCAGTTGTGCTGTGTGGTGCTGCAGGGTATCATCTATATGAAGATTTTGGTAGCAGTCATTTGGAGCTTTGGGGTGAGGTGTCATCAGTACCTTGCTAATACCCAGCTCTGTGTCTTTGTGACATCCAAATCAGGAGAGGCCGTTCAAAACCTGATGCCTGGTCAAGGGCAAGTTAACTGACATTGAATCCTGGGAAGATGGATGTTATGTAGTGGGCAGTTCCTAACTTGGGCTAATTTGTCAGTTGCCTGCTATAAAGGAGATTCATGTGTTAAAGTAGTTTGCTAATTACAATTATATATATATATTTCATAACAGGAGCTGTAGCACTTAAGAATCTTGAAATAAAAGAAAATGCACTGGTAAGTTCAGAGCAAACAAAACTTTTAACTATGTACTGTTGTCAAGTGTTAACTTTGTAGTAGGCATGGGGAACCTGTGGTCCTCCAGATGTTGTTGGATTCCAGCTCCCATCATCACCAGCCAGTATGGCCAATGACCAATGATTATGGAGTTGTGGTCCAAGAGCGTATGGAGGACTACAGATCCCCTGTCCCTGTTCTTTAGTAAATGAACCAATACAGTACAAAATCTATTGAGCTTGTTGCCCTTTCTAAACCTTTTCTATTTCCTGACCTACTGTCTTAGCACCGGACGTGTGTTGCAGAGGAAAATGTAAGGTTTTAAGTCTATGCACATTTACTTGAGAAACTTAGATTGGTCAGACTTAGCTCTGAGTAAACCTACAAAGGATTTACTATACTTATATCCGTTTACATCATTAGGCCTTAATACAAGTAATTGAACATAAATTCTCACAATTTTAAAGCTAGCAAAAACACTGGGGTAGTTTGAGACTCAGTCATAATTAGAATAAATCCATAAAATCCATGGAGCTAATATTAGTCATGACTAAGTCCCACTGATTTCAGTGGGTCTACTCAATGCATAACTAAGTCCTGAGCCAACCTGCTCTATAGAACATAATATATAAAGCAATACAGATAAAACATGAGACCCAATAAATTAGAAATGAAACATCTTCAAACAGATTTCACATGTATTTAAACAAATCTGGGCCCGTCTTTTGCAGCAGCAAAAAGCCAAATGTATATTTTAAACATTTTCCATGTTTAAACTCAATGGATAATCATGCATATGGTTTAATAAATTCTTTTTACTAAATACATTAAATATATATTGTAAGGTAGTCTTTCTGTAGGGTCATCAACAGAGTGGTCTCTTATTATAGCTTACAGAAAACATTTTGTATCTGCAATTCCAAACCGAAAACACAAAAACTTTTCTTAATTTAGCACATCAAAGTTCAATCAAATAAGCATGTAATATGAAATTTAATATTTGCAAAAAGGGACAAAGATCTTTATTTCATGAT